TAAACCTAAACCCATGATTAGTTTCGAGCGAGGAACACCAGCAGCAATATAAGCTTGAATAGATGCATGACAATTGTATCTCGATTTGATGAATGATGGAGCGATATCAGTGGCTGTTTCTGCATCGTTTTTATACAATGGAGCATTATGACCAGTTTTTGACTCCCAACTGCCTGTCGTTTAGTAACACAAATACATATGTTAACATGTAACGAGAAAAAATAGCATTTACCATGAAAATCGTAGGTCATAACATTAATCCAATCAAGATAGTTAGACATGCCAGATAAATTCATATCAGCAATTCGTTCAGTACCTGCACCTGTGCTATATAAAAGAAATACAGAATAAAATAAAATGAAATACTTTTATCAATTGAAATTTATTAACTTACGCCACAGTCAATAGATATCTTTTTCCATCGATATTACCAGCAGTATTGAGTTGTTGACGAATTTCTTGAAGTAAAAGTACATAATTTTGTTTATCTTCTGGTCGGACAATATTTCCAGGAAGTCCACCAGAGACAGGATATTCCCTTTAAAACCAAAACACTATGTTATATTGAAAAACAAAATACATACACTTACCAATCAAGATCAACTCCATCAAAACCATATTTTTGCACAAATTCAACACAAGATTGAGCAAATTTAGAACGACTTGCAGCCGTTAGAGCAACATCAGAAAATCTACCAGACCATGTCTATAAGAATATTGTTTTAAGATGAAAAATGAAAGAAATAAAATTTACCCATCCACCAACAGAAATTAATGTTTGAAGATGTGGATGTTTTTGTTTGAGTTTAAGTAATTGATTAAAGTTTCCACGTAATGACTGATCCCATGTATCACCTGGAAAAGCTTTTTCTACATCGGCCCATGAATCACCCAACACCAATCGTCCATCTGAGCCAATATTGGCAAATGCATAATTGATGTGAGTGATTTTATCGCCTGGAATATCAGCAACAAAGTATGATCGAGAATAAATAGACCATGCTGCGAAATATGCCACAATAATAGGCGCGGCAACCATATCTACGTTACTTGCTTCGTAATATTATGTCTATTTTGGACAATAGTCAATCTTCCACTTAAATACGAGTATAGAAAAGTACATATTTCAGTCAATTAATTCTGTACTAATACTGTTATCATCGTGAGAGTAAAACCACACCTGTGTCTCATGACAAGAGCGCAAAACAATTCAATGCTAATCATCTTTTTCTTTTATTTAAAAAATTAATTTTGGTTCGTAATGTCCTTTAGAATTATATAAAGACGTTCTTTTGAATACCTTATTTTTCATACCAATCTTAATCACAATACGAAATTCGTATCAATCATAAAATGTATATAAATATAAAGAATACAATATCTAAAATCTACAGAGTAAATGTATGCTATAGGAAGTCATATTGAATGAAACCGTATAATGTTTTTTGTTCTCACATAAATAAAATTTGATAAGGAAAAGTAATGCAGCCCTTTTTTTTATTTTTATTTTTGTTAATATTTTTGCTATAACTTAAAATACGATCAGGTTACCAAATAATAATACATCTAAACATTTAATCTTATTGTTAATACGAATTTTAAGTACAATGTTTATTGAAAATTGCTGTTTTATCTAAATAAATTGCATAAATGAAAAGCAAATTAGCACACTATAAACATAAACCAAAACGTTAATTAAATGATATGTAATTAGCAGAACATAGTACGGCAGGTTTCGATCATATTGAAACAATCCAATTAATCTAATTCGTAGCTAAGTATGCATATTATATTGAAAGTATGTGTTGATGATTTTAACTAAGATTTTTTGGATTTCGCTTTATTTTCTCTCTGAGCACAAAATTTCAGATCGAAATTCAAAAATTTGATTTATCATGATGTACGTGAAAATAAATCGAAAAACTAGTATAAGTGTTCTAACTCGAGAAAGGAGACGTAACAATGCGATCTATTCGAGACATATTCTACTCTCGATCGGTCCTATATAATGAAGAAAGTCTCCTCGAAAAGCTTCTTATCACTTGGTAAGGTTTCCAAATCACTTAATTTCGAGAATAGCTATCCTTTAAGGTTATTAAAATCACATCAAGGCAGAGCATTGAAAATGGAGTCGATACGGGCGATTATCTATCTGTTTGACTTCATCGGAGCGGATCTCTGCCGGTTTCGGCTATCATAAAAGTTTGCAATAGAAGAAATCATATAGTAACCGTGAATGGTGTTAAAATTTATCGTAACTTTATTTTGTTAACTTGCTAGAGAATACACTACTAAACTGTACAAACACACAAAATACATAGGATATGTGTCCTTGTATACATATATACATTGATGGCGAAGACAGACGTGCGAACACTCTTTCGCATTGAATACAAAGCAGTCAGCAAGCCCGGTCGAGTATTCATGTCAACATAGTTTTACTCAAACTCTGCAAAGCATATTTTTCGATGAACACTTTAAACATTGTATTACACGTTTCACTAAAACACGATTGCTAACAACTGTGAAAGTGCGTAGCTAGACAAGTTAATCTGCCATCATCTAACAGATGTACCCTGTGAATGATACTGTCTCTCAATTGGAAACTATTGATGAAGGTATACGTACAGTTGATTACGGTGCCCACAGGAATATACGAACATATCATAACAGGTGTATAACAGCAACTTACTACACAGTGCTGAGTATTGGAGCCGTCTGGCTACCTAATTGTGTTCTGGATGACAACGGCTTCATCGTGTTTCATGTTGTAATCCTAGCAGAAATCCATTGAAAATTTTTGAATCGAATCTCTCTCATTGACAACAAGGATGATGGTTACAAATACACATTCATTTTATGATAAAATTGATTTTTGAAAAACTGTGAGTCCCCAAAAGAAATTTCTGACATCAGCATTAAATGCAAGAATCAATGACAAAAAGAAGAAATGGTTGTTCATTTGTTTCTTTTGAAATATCTTATCTAACGATCGTCGGCCCAATCATTTGATAATATTTGAAGATATCATGAAAAATGGCTAATCCTCACTGAGCAATTATTATTTGCATGTAACTTGAATAATTTTCAACCGTTCTATATCGAAGCTGTGCATTTAATATATAATAACTTCATATCCAATGGATAGTGGAAAATTCTTTATTTTTGAAACCCTTTTTTTTAGATCAAAAACATCTTGTGATTTTAATCAAAGCAATCGAACCAAGTCCGACCGTTCTATGTCTTAGTCTTGATCAAAATCGATGATGTGACGATGATATATTATTAATTGTTCATATTCTGCAATCGAATAAACGTTTACGAAATATCTATTTAAATGCAAAGAAAATCAGCATTATAAATGCTCAACACTTGGCTAATATGTTATCTGTAAATTCAGCATTAACAAATCATGAACTTTCACTACATCAAACATTATAAATACTCAATCTGAGTCCGACAGAAATGACTCTTGAAGATATTCAATGATTAGTACATTTACTCGAAATGGATGCAACATCAAAAGCTTTACTTCTCAAAAAGCAATGCTTTTGAAGGTAAACGAGTGAACATTATTGCATATATCTTAACTCACAATTCAACATTATTGACACTGACTTTGAGTAGAAACAATCTGATACACGTTGATGCTAATGCTAGTGCGCTCGTAATGAAACAAAATAGAAGTCTTGATAAGTTGGATTCTTGAGTAAAAATCCTCTTGGAGATTTAGACGTTAGATTACTCATGTTTGCACTCAGAAAGAATACAATATTCGTTAAACTGAAACTTGAATTAGCCAATATGAACATCAATGATGTATATGAAATAGTAAACATGATACACTTGAATAATAATTTACACTATTTGACTATCAGTCAAAATCTGATTGATGATGATGCTATTGATTTATTAGTCGATATATTTGATGATCATAGTAATTTTCTTGAGGGTGTCGATGTGGATGAATTGAATATCCATATACACACCTTCACAGAATGACATTCATACCCTCACGCCCAAAAGATGGTATTTGTTAGTTGATATGAATGTAAGCGCTGATTTAGGCATTACTCAACCTCTGTGCTGATATTCTAAAAAGTTTGGTGAGAATCCACCAAACTGACAATCAAGTATGGCGTATGGTATGATGATTATAATCTACCGAAAAGAATATCGGTATTCTCTTGCACTACAATCTATCTTTTAACAAATGCATTACACTTCAGTAGAACAACATCTTTTTCTGCTTTGTGAGGTAGCCACTAATGTGCACCTTCGTTTGTGTTCAGCTAATTTTTATATACTAAGGATTATTCTATTTCGAACGATTGAATTTTGACAAGCACATAACCATTCTTATTGAGCGCACCAAAGCTATTTAAGTCATTTTTCAGACAATTATTTCAGTTTCATAGATACTCGAAGGTTTTTATTTAACAACAATTGTGTATTTTCGTCAAGTCTTACGAAAAGAACTCGCTCGTTCATTTTCTAGAACAGTTTAGCAGAACTCAAAAAGTACAATCATCCATAGACGTGTCAGCCATGATCAAGAGTCTTTCTGATATGTGGATTCGAAAAAGAATGTTTTTGTTTCAAGAGCGATGACTCATTGTGTTAGAAAAACGAATTAGTCATGGTTAAAGTACACATCTATCACTGACCAGAATCAAACTCAGCAAAACTGACAGATATTCATAGAGGGTTTTTAAACCGTAGAAATTCAGATTGCTTTCAGGGTTATTTGACATCGCACGATTTAGCTTCGATTTTCAAGATTATGAACTCATTTTACAAACACCTTACAGTCGTTTCTTTATTTACGATATTTCGTTTATCTACCCTTTGTGTCAACTTAATATCATCACTCTACTTATCATCTCATCAGAAACAAATAAAAAGCTGAGAAGTTGTGTGTTGCTCTATTCAGAATACACCACGAGCAAAAAGGAGTAGATATGGACGCTACATATCACGACAACATCACCAGTGAAACTATGGCACCTCCACCATATCACAAGCCTCCACCAAGCTATGGATTTTCGAATCCGATGGTATTTCATTCGCCCAATCAGTCAGGACAAGTACCCATAAGCTCTATGGGTCCCCAATGGCCTGGAAATCCAAATATCGTATATGTACAGCCGGGAGCTGTAAGTGCTATTGGGGTCTGTGGAGTGCATCCCGAGACAGCTTATATCAATGACTACATGGCTTGGTCAATTTTCAATATGTTATGTTGCGGTCTCTTGTTAGGCCTCATAGGATGTCTATTGTCGTCGCAAGTGCAACAACGCAAGATGGTAGGTGACGTAGAAGGCGCCAAAAGCTTATCAACAGGTACCGCATTATGGAATGCTTTTAGCACTCTTGCTGGCATTGGTATCATTATTGGGATTTGCGTCTATCTCAGTAATTATGGTTACTTGTAATCGCTACAAATATTCCGAATCTGTACCAAATAAAAAGGACATATCTACCTGTTTTATGCACTAAAGAATGTGATAATTACTTGAAAAATTTATTTAAAACTATACATTTACTTATAAACGGTGCTTTTCGTTTTGTAAGCTCAATAAAAACCACATTAATACTTTATTAAAATCTATGTTTTCTAAGAGATCCCACGTCAATGTTACATAGAGAATTATATTTAAAGATTCTAGTAAAACATTTGATTTTAGATTTACATATTTTGAAGAAAAGATCTCGTCGAAGTATCTTTAAATCGAAATAGTTGCACTCTTGAGCCATTTATGAGTATTTCTATATCTAACGAATGATCTAAAACCTATTAAAAACATGTACGATCGAATTCAGTGATTCCAATCAGTTTAATCACTCACTTTTCTATAATGTAACTTGTGATTGAAAAACTATTGACCTTAAATATTCAGTGTAGTTGTCGTGTTTTTTATAACAATCAACAATGAACGGATATCAACAAAGATTTTGGATCAGCAATATTGTGATAACAAAAAAAATACTCGAAGTTAACCCTATTTTGAACAGACAGGGGAACGTTACTAACTCTCTGCACGCTTTTCGTTTGAGACTATTCTCATTCGATTGATACTGCTGAGTAGTAAAAAAAAGTCTGTTTCGGCTTAGTTTTTCGATCTTCACTTGTCAAAATATGAACTTTTCACTCTATTTTTACCGTATAAAGATAGTATGATGGAGAACTTGAATGAGTGAACTTTGAGCTAAAATATTTCACATAGATAGGTCTGACAAATCATTAGAAACATCCCCACATTGAGCCAGAACGAATATGTTCTTGATTAGATATTTCTATTTTATAGAAACGTCTATTTTGAACTGTTCTTCTAAAGAAGGATGTTTCTAAAGCAAGCTGATATCTCGATACTAATATGTTTACCCAAGCTCAGACTTTAGAGCGTTTCTAGGATCTATAAGGCCTATTTATAGAGAATATTTCAGTTCGAAATCCGATCATGCATGTTCTTAGCAATTCTATGCTCACAGGATAAAACTCACATAGAACACTCATGACTTGCAAAAACAAAGACAAGAAAGCCGAAAAAAATAAAATTTTTTTTTTTTTTACTATTCATGATCACTGATCGAACGGAGATAGTCTCAAGCGAATAGTGTAGGGACAGTGGGTATCGTTATCCTCATGATTATCATGTCTTTAACTGATGAGGAGCCACCAAAAACAAAAATTAGTCTAGGATTTACATGAAAATTAAACAGAAAATGAACAATTAAGACTAATGAAATAGTCAATTCACAGAAAAAGACATTAAATGCAAACTATTTTCGCACAAGGAAAAATATTTTTAAGAAGAGCACGTTCTCTCAGAAGATAGGAGCATGATAATGCATTTTCATCATATTACTTTTATGATAAAAGCACACGTGACTTGTGTTCTGTCGATGAAGTCATTTGAGAACTACTTGAAAGATATGAAAATTAAATGTTTACTATCTACGACTTGCTTCGAGACATTTTTTTCAAAACATATACAACAAACATGGAATAAAACAATAGGAGGCTTTCTATTCAAGAAATCGAAGAAATGATGCCCTACACTTTGCAAATCGTTCTTGCTCAATATTAGGCAAACTGTAATCTTTGCAGAACTCGCTGTCTAAGATTGCTGTTAGAAATCGAAATGATCAATTTAACTGCAGTTCGCTGAAATTACATGTCATGACAATTAATAAATTGCTCTATAGATCTTCAGTAATTTGCATAACACATTTTAGTTCTAATTGCTGGTTCTCAGCAGATTTATAACCTCTTCACGTTTAAATAATAGCAAAAGCTTCATACGAAAGAAAGATACGCCGAATATAGTAAAAGACTACTTTAATTAATTATTTTCTCGACAAATTGGAGCTTTAACTATTATGTTTTCATCAAAATATGATTAGTTTTTCAGTACTTTGCGATGAAAATCTTAACAGACTCTGTTCAAAGTTATCTATGGTCATATGACATCTCAAAAACTCTTCTTCAATTCTCAAAATCACTGTGACTTTCGCAAAAACGTTTTTCGTAAAAAGCTATAGCAATAAATGAGACACAACAGAATACTCACTGAAAACTTTGCACTTTTGGACATAATAGAATACCCAGAGTCATCTATTGAGGGAGAAGAAGAGACCTAATAAATGCGAAGGAGTCATTTTCCCATGCGTAAAGTGTCTCATCAATTTCAAATCAAAAACTATTTTATTCGAAAAAGAACCAATTTAATCAAGCAAATCACTTTAATCAAAACAAAAAACAATAAATTAAAATCATCCAGTTTTCACCATTTTTGTTCAACATATTAATTACTTTGTAATAGTATTCAAATATACGAAACCTTTTTTTTGGCTGCAGGTCTTCATACGTAATATTAAAATATTCAATATTTGCGGCTCGTTTGATCTTTAACAAAATGTTGAAGAAAAAATTTTGGTCAGAGATATACAAAAATAAAACAATGATCAATAGATGTCACGATATTTCAAACAGTCACGTTTTACATTGCCTTATTATATAATTGCTTCATATTAGTAGCCAAGCAGGAAACGTCAATAATGAAAGATATACAGTTACTACTGATAAAAATAGTTAAAATAGACTAAAAAATGGCCAAAATCGTCCTGAGCGTCAAGAAATTGATAAGCTACAATACAATTTTTCGTCCTGTACAGAGCGCATGGAAACGTTCATTATCTACTGAAGAACGTCAAGTTTCTTCGAAAGTCGATCAATCTTGTAGATCTCAAAATTCATCTGGTTCGACTACTAATGATATAGCGCCTGGCAAACATTCTGTGACATTGATTCTTATTGACGTCATTAATCATCCCGATTTTGAAGGCAATGAAGGTAGAACATGTACAGAGACAAAACAACCTAAAATGTCTGTTTTTATTGCATTATTACTCTTTCTAGAATTGATCAAAGTCATAAAACCAATTGGTCAGCGTATTGCCGAATTGCGAAAGACAGCTTACACTGCCAATATTCCAACCATATTTGTCAATGATAATTCATGATTTATCTTGCTATACAGGTAAAATACTGGCCGAATTATTGTGACCAGATGAAAATGATTTTATGTTATCATTCTTGCTCAATAGATTTCTATGAACAATTAAATATTGTAGATTTTGTTCTGAAATCTAAACGTTCGGGATTCTATTGCACACAACTTGAAATTCTTCTCGATCATTTGCATGCAAGAATTTTCATTTTGACTGATTTTACTGGAAATATCTGTGTTTTGTTCACTGCAAATGATTCTTATATAAGAAACTACAACTTGATTGTTCCAAGAGATTGTATTGGCTCTAATACACCAGCGGTATAGCTTATGCTAATCGTGATTATATATGATAATCAATGTATATTCTAGGAAAACGATGCATCTCTGAAGAAAATACATAAACTGCTTAAAGCTGACATAAGACCGTCTACTGACATTATCAAAGATATTAAAAATAATAAGCTGCACAAATGAAGAAGTTCTCAACGTTCATTGGTAGATCAACAAGCAAAAAATAAGTGATAGATTCAATGTATTTGATATCGTATCACGTTTAATCTCGCATAATGATACTTCAATATATTTAGTCAAGCGCATAAACTTTATCTTTTTATATTTTGTTGTATTTCGATGTTAAAAATTATAGGAAATTTTTGGCTTATTGTAAATAGAATAACTTTTAATTGCATTTTTGTTCTATTCTTAGTTAGATGATACACCATAGATTTACACATTCAATAGATCTTACAGGAGCACATTCGAATCTATATGTTAGTGGCGGATCTAAAATGCAAAAGTAAATTTAGTAGAGAAAACAATTTCAAATAAGTCAAAGAAGAAAAATAACGGTATAATATTCTTAGCACTGTAGAGGTAATAATATCGCGCTGCTCTAAAAGAAATTGTGGCCTGAATCGCATAATATTTATTTTAGTTCATTTTATAGTTGTCGAGTAACCAATGAAAGTATCAAATATATCTCTCGAAGTAGTAAATGATAATGTCTCGAATGTAAAGCTATCAAAACAAGTCCTGCTCTTACTTATATACGATGTGCTGAGGCAGCAACACCGTCTCATCACTCTTATATCTATCTCGTGTGTATCTATCAATAACATATAATAGTGAACTGCTAAGGCTTGTTTTTGCTCCAGGCACTTAGAAAAATGCAATCTAAACGTTAGAAATGAACTTCGAATTTTATTCAAGTACTAATCTGCATTGGCTTTAAAAACATCAATTGATGCCAATTACACTTACCTCGAAAAAAATCAACAAATTGTGTTAACTTTATCTGCAGAACTTTTCTACATATCGGTCAACTGTTATGACTGATAGAAAACCTAAATGAATACTACAGTCATTCTTAAAATAGATCAGATTTTTTTATTTATTTTTATTAAGACGTAAGTTTTTTTTTTAAGTGGCGTCTGCTGGTCGTTAAGAGTTCCTGACAGTCAATGGTAAACAGTTCAGAAGTGAGCATGAAACTTTGAGATGAAAAATTTGTAGTATAGACAGAATTCCGATTCTGAATCAGTGGCTAAATTTCTTTGACAATTATCAATGCATTCAGTATGCTGTGAGACCGCTCGATCTAGAGTAGGAAGCGATAGGTCAATATTGAGAGCTGAAATTCCGATGCCGACTAGAAATTTATCGACTTGAAGTTTCGAATTTATTCATCTTGAGCATTTAAACGATGAAAATCGACCGATTGAGTATCAGTGGTTTTCTGAGACAAGATAAGATCAAAAATTTATCTCCCTTGGAATTACTCAAACGCAATGTACGTAAAATGCTATTGAGATTTTTTTTTAATTTGGACTGGTTGTTGAGAAAATTGAAGTTTTTCTGATTACAGCAGTAACAGGTCACAAATTTGTTTAAAAAGATAGCTGTACTTAACAATTTCTACCATCATAGTTAAATTTCAAAGCAAAATCAGTAACATATTCGAGATCAACGCTGACAACAAGATTAGATTATCTATAATTCATCAAAAAAGTTCTCTTGGAAAAAAACACTAGATAGAGTCCTTTCAGAAAATTTTTTCTCAATGTTGCTTATGGTTCACCTGGCATGAATATTTTGTGAAATATGGTTTGCTGAAATAGGTATGCATACATAATACGACATAAATATGTTTGATGCTTTCGAGTGTATGATGTATTTTGGTCTAAAACTTAGTTATGAAGAAACAAAATTAATAAATACCAAAGTATTTATGACATTTTTCTACAGAAAAATCAATATTCTCAATAATCGAACAACATATAAAGAAACTGCACAGGTACATATGATATTCAAAGTCCAATGATTCAGATCAGATACAACACTTAGTTTCAGTTAATTTCACAAATGACTAATCAGACTTGGAAAGTATCTATCATCATATGCTTAGAGATACATTTTTGGATAAAACCTTTGTTATGCCATTCTCCCTTCATATCCTACATTACATCTGTTTGACCTCGATCAAATATTAATAGTAAGAATGAGTTAAGTACTTTATTTCGGTAAACTAATTGATTAATCATTATCTACTTTAATAAAGCTTATCAGTTTTTCCATATATTTGGCTAACATTGAAAATAAGTTCGTGAGCAGAAAGTATCATACTTTAGCTATTTTTTATTTAAAACCTGCTAATTATTTTTGTTTTTTCGACTTATTAAGCTCTCTTCGTTATTGAATCAAAACCTGAATCTGAATGTATATTCGATTGTATTAATCAAGATACACTACAAATAGAAAACCAATGACCAAATTCGAAAAAAAAAGATAAGTAACACGAGACATATTCTATTCACTGATTCATTTCAATTTTAGTCAATGATATCGAAAGATTGATTAATCATACATTCTACTGAAATAAAGTGTTTAACTCATCGTTGTGATTCGTCTTGACTTGACACCAAACAAATGTAACAAAGAATACAAAGAGATGAGGAAAAACATTTGTTCAAAAATATATGCTAAAAAGATCAGTATTGAATATAATTTTCTTCTATGGTTTTAACAAAATAAAATAGAAATAAAAGAAATTGTACAAGCTTGCAAGAAAATGTGATTCTTTTGGTAATACATACGATCTTTGTACAGTTTTTTCTAACTATACAAGAATCGAATCAAAATTAAAACTATATACTTGTAATTAACTTATCAAGATTTATCAAACCATAGATAGACACAGAAAAAATAAAAATTCACTTGAATTTCACATTTTCTTCACCATACTTAAAATATGATAGATTCACTCGTAAAAACGTAGGATTTTCGTCTAGTTAAAGGACAAGAATGTGTAAAATTGTCAGAAATAATTTGAATCTATAATCTCACAATTGTAGATAACGAAAGCAATCCAGGCAATCAAAACTTTAGTTTTCTTTTCTCATTAAATTAGTCTTACTAAACTTCAAGCATAGAGTGCGATTTAAAAGTTGAACTTTTTTGCTTGTTTTCTATCTTCTTTTGATCGCAATTAACTAATGAGATTATTAACTTTTTGAGATATGATAAAGTAGAGATCTCAAAAACAACATAAAATTATAATTTATTAATAAAAAGATCACGTCTTTCTTTGACAGTATCAATCAAAAATAGAATTCAAATTATTCGAGACTTTCTTTCAGGTTGTACACTAAGAATTTCAAAGAGTTCTTCTCACATTCTCAGTATCAGCCTATAATTAAAACAAAATAAACTGAGAAGAGAGATTTCTTTTTTTTAATTGTTTTTCGTATTTTAAAAATATAGCAGTAACCATATTTTTTATTATAAGAAATCTTATCATGAGATCAATGCAAAAAGAATATTTCTCTGAACTCAAGTTTATCTATCATTTCGTATGTGGTTTAAACAACAATATGAAATAATCGTTTGCAGGCCCGTAGTCAGAAATTTTATAAGGGGGGGAGCCCGACTTTCTAAGGAGGGGGCCCACCATGGTGAAAAAAAGTTTTCGCTAGCGCGAAATTTTTTTCCCTGTACTCCCTATAGGCAAGTTTCGGCCTAAGGGGGAGCCCTGGCCCCTCGGCTCCCCCTCTGGCTACGGGCCTGATCGTTTGATACATTCAGCAGTTGTTTTTTTTCATGATGCTAGATATAGCAATATCTTCACAAGCATTGATATTTATTATCCAATGATTTTCATGTTGATGTACTTCTACTAAGTACACGAACATAATGATCATATGTATCAACAAGGCCATGTTCGATAAAAAGTTTCAATGCATATTTTCAGTCGATCTTGTTCATAGATTTCAATGAAACATGTCACTAGATTTTATTGGAGAGAATATATTGAAGAACATGAGAACCATATATATTGTTAGAATGAAGTTTTTCAACAAATAAATTTATATTCTACAAGTATCACTCTATACTTAAAACAAGCGGAAATAAAATATATGTGCAATATGTAAAAAAAAGCGCACAAGTTTTTAAATACCATAAAAAATTTTTCTATGTTATGGTTCATTCAGTACATTTTTATGAAAGATTCTTTGAACTAATTTAAGAACGTATAGTTTTACTTTATACATGTAGACGTGATTATTGTAATGCATTAAATATTAGTATCCATTGTCAATCAAATGATTTTTTAATATTTTTCTATACAATAAGACAGATGATTCAAATATCAATCAATTTTTAATTCTTTTTTTTTTTTTTGTTAAACTATCAATCAGTATTCAATTTGCTAGACTATTAGATATACAGATGATAGTTAATACAAAAAGAAGGGATAATTACAAAAGCACATCTTTTAAATATATTGGTTGAATTGAAGAGATTAAAGAAAGATTAAAAGATATCTATAGATTTTCTTTATATAAAATGCCTTGAGTTATTTCTACTACCATAGTTTATGGGTTTTCTTTTCTCATTTTCATAACGCTTCATTCAAGGTCACGGAATACGATTAATAGACATGTGATCAATGATAACAAAAAAGAAAAAAAACAAAAACAAAATAATTCATGACAGTAATATGGGATTTATATA